ACATGGGATACAGTGGCCGAACACACACACACACACATCGCTTCGGATGTCCACACCCATGTCGCCTGTTATGCTGCAGCACACTAGTGCAGAATGTGGACCAGTATGTGTTTTCACTACACACCGTACTTTTTCACGTGTTTGTACCCGCGAGGTTTACTGAACGAGGCTAAATTGGGTCCGGCCTTTGCGTAGGGCAATTCATAGGAAGTGCGGGAAGAGGTAATATTGTGAACCAGGAGGAGGAGGACGTTGAGAAGCATTTTGAACACAGGACATGCGTACGTATACACGGGCCCTGTTACCGCAGGGTCATGTGGCATGCCTTCAACACAAACGCAACGAGGAAGACCGAGGTGGATGACAAATCATTGCCGACTTGAACATGTGTGGCAGCCGCACAGATGGATGGTTGTTTGTCGTCAGGGTCGCCCCATCGCCTATATCCCACATCGCCCCAGCGGACGAACGCAAAAGGGCGGTGGGAATTCCGCCGGAAAGTTTCCCGTCGCGACAGCTTCGAAGTCGGTTTCAGATCGGTGGTCGATCCTGATCCGCCCGACCCACGCGACGAGAACAGGCCATTCGATCAGGAGACTGAACCAGTGGCCCAATTGAAGATCAGAGGTGATGCGGGTTATCAGGTCTGTGACCCTACGCCCGAGGCCAGGCAAGCGCTGCGCGAGGCCAGACGACGACTGTGCAGCGCACGCCAGCGAGATCGCACAACCAAGCGTCCACCAACATGGCACGGTTGGTCGAGCTCGCGCGCGAGTACTGCCGCCAGAACAACGCAGCGTGGAGCGCATTCCCATTCTTGGGAAAAGAGCCAGAGTCGGAGACTTCTACGAGCCGTACTGCGTCGACCCCGCAGAGGACCAGCTCGCGGAGTACCGCGGGAAGGCTTCCATCGACCAGGGGTCGTTGACGCCGGCGCGCGGGGCCGCCGACGCGCGCCGGGCGCGATGCATTGGCGGGCAGGCCAGATTATCAAGGAGCGAGAAGAGGCGCTGGAAGACTATGACGGGACGTCCCGCGACTGCGTCGCGGGAGCTCCTCCAGGCACCAGACAACCGCAGAAAAAGGGGCTAGGGCCAGAAGTGCAAACCGACTGCGCAAGGCGCCCAGGGACGAGCAGATCCACGCGGAGACCATCGCATTCCGTGGGTGGGGAGTACTGCGTGGGCGCGACGCGAGGGGCTGTCTGCGCGAAGCGGGATTCACGCGCAGCTATAGCGCGGGCGATGCGGTGCGTTTCAAGCGCCCCGAAGGTCCACCTCCGCAGCTGAGAAGGGACCCTCCCAATGGAGCTCCTTTACACCAGCCGCAACCCTGGGGCTTCTCTCTTTCCGCGCTATCGAGAGGGCGAACAAGGGCGTGTTAGCATCCATCCAGCAGGCGCGTATCTAGCAGGTCTACCTGCGCACTCGCCCGGGCCGCCTCTGCGCGACTCACTGCCTGGCGGGGCGGGGCGCCGCGATCGAACCGCTCGTCGCGCGCCTGTTCTGCGGGGCAAAGACGGCCCTGCACGCGGACGTGCGAACTCCCCATCAGTGGGCGCGCAGCCGTTGAGCGGGCGCTTGCAGGCGCAGCGCGCTCCCCGAAATCGCAGCACATTAGAATTAGATATTCGACAAGTGGTGTGAAGACCCAATCGCGGACCAGCTGTCCGAGAGCGCAGACGACTCGGTCGAACGTGCAGAAGAGCATATGGACGTTGGCAAGATGCAGGATGAAGAGCATGAGGGATTCCTGAATGACCTCGGGGCCGACATGAATGAACGCCGACGAAACAGGGGGATTCTCGCGGCTGCGCCGCGAGCCCCTCGGCCCCGTCGCCTGAGAGCTCGAAGCCTGATTGGGGCGCCCCGCCAATCGAGATGCCCGAGACCGAGGGCGCCAACGAGAACGATGAACGGCGCGCCGGTGCCAGGGCTCGCATCTCGCCGCAAGCAACGCCTGCCTCGGACGAGCAGTCAGACCCCGAAGAAGGCAGCGAGCCGGAAGAGGACGACGAGTCTGAGCCCCTGGACGAGACCGAGGACGAGAAGGAGTCAGACATTGAGACCGGCGAGGGAATTGTTGGCTGCGCCAGCGCATCCCCATCCTATTCCGCGCTGCGTCGTGAGCCCGAAGCAGACCCCGTCTTCCTCGCGCCGGCGCTGATCCCTTTAGACGTCCTCTCCAACGAGCTCCCGCGAGCCTTTGAGTCTAATCATTTCCTGTGTTCGTGGCACTGGCGCCGCCGCGGGACATCCAGGCGTTCGAGGCCGACTTGAAGTGGCTATTGGAAGAGAATGGAAACGCTGCTTATTACGGCGTGGAGCACGCCGAGTAAGGTCTCCATGGCCCTCTCGCGCTCTTCCCAGATAACGAGTCAGAGGCACCCAGGCCGCGGTTCCGAATGTCGCCAGAAAGTTGGGGGAAGCACGCGACTCTGGCCGGGCGCTGTGCACGCAGAAGCATGGGCGAGGGGTTCCAGACCAGACAGTTGGAGGCCGCGAAGAACCTCAACGGCGACGCGCTGTTGGAGTATTTGAGGGCACTCAACGCCGTTGCAGCGAGGCATGGCCGACCGTTCCCTCCGCGCGCGGTGCAATGCCATCGAATCCCATGTCCCGCACAGCCCTCGCGCATTGGCGCCAATGCCCGCGCGCGAGAACCTTGCCGCATTCGCGCGGCGCAGTGATGTCGTGGATGAGGAAGCCGAGCGGCTGGCATCGCTCATCGTCAATCTAGCGATGCACAGCGCGGCGCATTTGCTTGGCTCGGGAGGCTGGGCGCAGGCCGAGGTCATCGTGGGCGTGATCGAGGGTGGGGGCTGCGACCGGACATGGGCGCGCTTCTTGTGCGCCTTAGCCACGCTGCCTTCGCGCGCCATTCGCGCGCCAGGCGTTGAGATGGGGGATGGCGGAGAAGGCGCCGTCGCAAAGCCAGCCAGTTGGAACGAGAGTTTCGGGCGCGCGCCGCCGTCCAGCGATTGCGTCGCCAGCGGCGGCGAGGCCGAGAAGCCCGCGATCAAGCCGTGGCTGTTCTGAGCTTGCAGAGGCAACTAACTCACTTCGGGTGGTCGCACTTTGGTGGATCTACGTCGAGCGCGAGCCGTCCGCGAGGGATCAGCATTCGGCCGTCGTCGCACCGCTTGACGTCGCTGCCGCGATCTAGTCGATGACTGGGCAGGTCGTGGCCCCGGAGAAGGACCTCAGTGGGGCGCGCCAGTGCAAGCGCCTCAATGTCTTCCCCGCTCCGCGAGCCAGCTGCCCGGCTTTCGACGATTGCGTCGCCGAAGCCGGGGGGGGCGGCGCCAGCGGAGCGGCATCCGCGATCCGCCGAGGCGCGGGGGGGAGGCGCGCGGGGGGCCCTGAGGTGCTCCCGCGATGACCTGGGCCGAATGGGCGGTCAAGGCACTGCGCAGGACAGGGCCTGGACGCATGCGCCTTCGACGTGGAGAAACCGCGCGCTCCGTTAGGTTCGCGCTTCATGGCGCTCGCGACGCGAGTCTTTGACACGGCTGCGTTCCGCGTTCTTGCCGGCGGCCCCCCCCCGCTGCGGCGTTCCGTCCAACGTGGGGCGACGGGCGCCAGATCTCGCGGCGGGAATCGCGGCCCCTGCAGCCGCGTGGGCCCTGGTCTACGACCGGCGGCTTAATGGCGCGAAGATCGATCCACGGCCGAGATCGGGACGCGTCGATTGGTTTAAGCCACGCCAGGTTTTCCATCTGATCGGGGGCGGCGTAGACGACATCCTCGCGCCAGTGGACATCGAAGATGCTTCTGTCACCGCCGCGGGGCGACGGCTACCTCGTCTGTTGCAGAGCGCGCAGAAACGCTTTGGAACCGCTTGGGTGCACTTCGCTGCCTTCTCTGTCGGGCGCCGATGTTCTTCGCCCATGAGATTGAGGCGCCCAATCAGATGACGCCAGCGCACCGGTAGCGCGACATTGGCGTTGCCGAAGCGATGGGGGGAGGGGTTGACCAGGAGTCTGGGAACTACGTCCCCGGCCTTGCGCAGAAGGCCTCGCGGTTTGCACTGCAGGGCCAATCCGCGGACGAGGGGGTCAAGGAAACAGGGCGCGTGGGCCCAGGCCGACGCCGATGGAGCTATGCATCGCCGCGGCAGGCCTTGCGGGGCAAGACGGCGCCCCAGAACAACCCCGCGTCCACCTTCGCTCGGCGCCGACATCGCAAGACGACGCGTCGCCCCCTGATTTGAAAGCGCTCCGGCAGCAGAGCAGCAGAGGGCGCAAAAGTCGGGGAAGCGCTGGGCTGGATCAATTTAGGCGTGCGCCGGCACGCTGGCCACAGGGCGGCATGCGTCCGTGCGCGCGAAGATCCGGTGGTCATGCGTGAGCTGGAGGCTGTCGACCCAACCGGATTATTCTTTCTTGCGTATGTCTGAGGGGCCAGCACTAGCTCGAGGCCAGAAACGCGCCGCACTCGATGCCCACACTCGCCGAACACACTCGCGCCCACACTCCATGCCGACACTCGCACTCCATACTCGCCTCTCGCACTCGCGCCCACAGTCTACGCGCACTCTCGCACCCCGCTCTGCACGCCCGCACTCGAACCCCACATTCACACTCTACGCTCTACGCCCACACCCGCCCCCCCCCCCCCCCCACACACACCACAATCTACGCCCACAGTCTACGCGCACACACTCGCACCCCACACTCACATCCCACACCAATCCCCAGGTTGATTTACCGACTTGATTAGACAAGGTGATTTCACGAGTGGATTTACATAGTTGGTTTACCCAGTTGATTTACCGACTTGATTTACCGACTTGGTTTGCCGAGTTGGTTTCCCGAGTTGGTTTACAGGCGTACCGAGTTGGTTTACAGAGTTGGTTTGCCGAGTTGATTTACAGAATTGATTTTCAGAGTTGATTTGCCAAGTTGACTTCCCGAGCTGATGTGTGGAGATGGCTTGCACGGAAAGCTGAGATGGCGATTTGAATTGGCGTTGATTTCTTGGGCTTTGATTTACCATTCCAACTGCGAAAGGCGAGTTGGTTCCCCGAGTGGATCTCCCGAGTTGATGTCCCAGGTTGATTTCCCGAGTTGGTTCGCCGAGTTGGTTTCCCGAGTTGATTTGCCGAGTTGACTTTTAGAGTTGATTAAGAGAGTTGATTTCGCGGGGCGGCCTGCCGAGTTGAGTTCGCAAGTTGATGTGCAAAGTTGATTTGCCGCCTTGGTTTCGCGATTGGAGATGCCGAATGGATTTCGCGAGTTGGTTGTCCGAGCTGATTCCTCGACTGCGAAGTGCGAATCGACCATGGGGTGGGCGTCCCCGACTTAGTGCGCCGAGTTGACCCGCGCCTCACGTTCGCGTCGCGCGGGCGCAAAGCGCGGGGGGTGAGTGAGGGCGCGAGTGCGGGGTGCGAGTGTGAAGTGCGAGTGTGGGCGCGCAGTGCGGGGAGCGATTGCGGGGGCGAGTGCGGGGTGCGAGTGCGAAGTGCGAGTGTGCAGTGCGAGCTTGGGCGCCGAATGCGAGGGGTGGCCGCGCGCCCCGACATGGCTGCTAGCTAGAGAGGCGCGATCGCTGCCCCACAAACATGCGCAAATTCTCTCCCGGGCCTCTTCGATCGGGATTACTCGCGACCTCACGATCGCGCAGCAGACGAGCCATCGATCGGTGAGGAGCTGTGGCTTGCCAACGTCTGTCGCCCAGATCTGTCCCCAACGCTCGCAGACTTGAAGGAAGTCATTGGGAAGGAGCTGGAACGGCACTGGGGGCCGCTGGAGCCTTTGCAGGGCGGGGGGCGCCCGCCCTCGACCCAGCCGCGGGGCCGCCCTCCGACGGCGCGAACGTCCGCGGGGGGCAGGGGGCAGGGAGAACAGAGACGAAGGGGTGAAGCGTCGCGGCAGCCAGGGGCCGCATAATCGGCAGGCTGTCAGGCGTCGTCGAGATGCCGAGCCGACGCTCTGAAAGGTCCACCCCGCCCATCGACGCGGCAGCATCATCGAGTTCCGCCCCGGGCCCAACGACGAGGAGGTGCCAGCGCACGAAGATCAGGGCGAGGGCCGCGGAGGAGGAGGTTCCGCGCCTTCCGTGGCGCCAGGACTCGCAGAGCTCCGGTCGTCTTGGAGCCCGGGATGGGGCGCGGGCAACTCGCGCGCCTGGAGCAGCAGCTGGGGCCGCGGCGACCAGTGGGGCGACGACTGGCGCTGGTGCTGAAAAAGAAGATAAGGACATCTCGGAGCTGTGCTCTGAGTGTTCTCAGAAATTGTTGGAGCTGTGCTCCGAGAGTCCTGGTGCCGGCTGCGGCGTGGCGGCAGGCTGCGGTGGCCTCATGAGCCGATCATCGCGCGGCGTGTGCAAGCGCGCTCCTGTCTATGCTGGGCCCGCCGGCCTGTTTCGGCTTGTCCCCGAGGGCCGTGCCGAGAGTGCTCTCTGCCCTGCCGCGGGCGCCGTAAAAAAGGCATTTGCGATTGGCACCGCGGGGGCCGAAATGCTTCGAAAAGGGGTGAAGTCAGACTGATGGCTCTAGGGACGTGCCGATATCAGGCTGGCGCGCTCCGCCGCAGAATGCGGCGGCGTTAGCTATAGGCTGACGCCCGCCCGCGCGCGGGGCCCCCGCGCCGGGCCGGCCGCGGGGGGAGTCATTAGCTACGCTCCCCTCGCGAGCCCTGCCGCTGCCTCCGCCGCTTCCCCTCGCGTAGCTTGGCGTCGGCAGCGATGATAGTAATATGACAACTACTGCTTTTATCATTGCAGTTATTCTTGCTGAAAGGTGAATAGGGCCCGCGCGCGCACCCAGCCTCGCCCCCCTCGGGCGGCCAGCTCTTCATATACCTTTCACATGCAGTAGATTAGCTTCCCGGATAATCCTAAGAGTTCGCCGCGGCTTCAAGTGCGTCTTCTCCGAGACTTAACTTTGGGCCACTAGGTAAAGATGACTTATCAGAACATTCAGGTCAAGTGCTTTTCAACCGGGTCAAACAAAAACCCTGCATCTGTTCTAAGTCGGCAAAATATTGAAGGTATGTAGGGACTATGAGAGCGGGGTTCGGAGCGGAATGGTGTGCTGCAGCATTGTTTACGCATCCCTCCGTTTCTTCCTCATCCTCCTCCTACTCCTTTTCCCTCTCCTCTTCCCTTTCTTCCTCTACCTGTCCCTTCCCTCTCTTCCGCTTTCATCTGTTCTTGATGTGCAACTACTCAGCATGGCAACTATTCTTCTCCCCGTCGAATGCGTCATGTAATTGCCCCGCCCTTGTTGTGCGTGCATCTTGTGTACACGGAGTGCCAATCATGGCATGTATCTCCATCGGTGTTTTACTCGGAACGTTTTTGATATCTCAAAGTCTTGTTCCTTCTGCGTATGGTACTGCTCGTCCGCCACCTCCCCCTCCTCCTCCACCTCCTCCTCCAGTGTGCGCAGCCCCCCTTTCCCTGAATTGCCCGTGACACGAGAGGTTTTGTGCGGGGGGCTCCAGCTCCGCGGTGACGCCCGGCTTGCCCCAGGCGGTTACCTACGGCGCCTCCACCATCACGGTGCTGAGCCTCCTGGGCGGGGTCGCGGGCGTGGCCAACATCGGGGACAGCGGCTTCATGCTCATGCGGCAGGAGCCCGCTTCCCGCCAGGGGAGGAGGCAGGAGGAGGCAGGAGAGGGAGGAGGAGGAGGAGGAGGAAATGGAGGAAGTGGAGGAAGAGGAGGAGGAGGAGGACATATTTTTAGTGCCATGTCCGTGTCGAGCGTGTTCAAGAAGCCCCTTGAGAGTAGCGAGCACTTCCCCACATATACTGTCCCCACGAGCCATCAAACATGTGTAAGTACATGCATCAACTCGTTGAACCTCAGGACCTACCTCAGGGACCTCTGGAGACTCGAAGCGTTTCGTCTTATTTGAATAAGCTCGATCCCCTGGGGCAGCAATCTCGACCGACAGGAACTCCCAAGAATACTGGGATCCAGGGAACAGAAATCTTCGGCAGCATCCTCATCCTGGAAGAAAAGGCGAATCGACCCCTGCGCAGCCTCGATAAGATCATCTGTTTCGTAGACTCTGGATAGATCCACGCGGTCACTCCAGGCCTGGACCGCCCACGGATTGGCATAACGAGTGATTTTGCCCGTGACACGGCCCACAGCGTCGCGCAGCCCCATCGACAGACGCCCGAAAACCAAGGTAATTTCCTGTACGTGGTTCCGCGGATTATGTACGAATGACCTGGTACTCGAGGCGCGGTCTCAGAACGTCGTCGTTCGACATCGTCGTAATGTGGGTGCCACTATCGTCGGAAGTTGTCCCTCGCATCGGAACTCGAGCGTGGCGCACCAAGACCGAATCCAGCCAGCGAAAGTCAAAGTCAGAGACGATGAACGCCTCGAGGTTAGAGCGCGCCGCGTTGACACATCTAGCTGGAAACATGCACCGACGCCAGCGCCAGGGAACTCCATGCAATTTCCAAAACCGGCCAGCCTAATGGAACGCCCGCTGAATAGCTCCAGGACGCTTGGTAAGTATTCTCGGTCGTCGGCGAAACTCTAAAGTGAATCTGCCCCCCAAGACTTTTTTTACCTCGTGGATGGTCCCCTCAATCGGAAGCCCAGGATTGTCTAACGCTTTGCGACCGATCCCAGAACCCACGCCCATGAAAAAGAATAAATTGATCTGCTTGGAAGCGCTTTGCTTATAACCACGAGACGATAGACATTGATCTAGTAAACTGCTTGAGTACATAACTTTATGACATAGTTCAAAAACCCCAGCTCCAAAACTTCTGACCGCCTTATATGCCCCTTCCCAAGGAATACACAGCACGTTGTTTCGGACTCAAGGAGTTTTGATGAACAGCTTCTCAGTGTCGTCGGCATACTTAGTTAAAGATAAAGCAACACGAACATCAGGCAAGAAAGTGTGCTTAGTGACCAGAGCCTCTGCCATCGGGTCAAAGTCCAAGTGCAGCTTCTTTCACTCGTCAATGGCAGGACGAAAAGCTCTGCAGAAGCCGTGCACCGCATACGGATCTCCCAATCAGCGCCCCCATTCTTGTCTCGACTGCGGGGGAGGATTGAGGGAGGGAGGGGGGGAGTAAGAGGAGGAGGAGGAGGAGGAGGAGGAGCAGGAGCAGGAAGAGGAGCAGGAGTAGGAGCAAGAGCAGGAGCAGGAGCAGGACCAGGATGAGGAATATATTTATGTGGAGGAGAATAATGATGATGCTGCTGTTGCTGATAATGGTGATGATTATGCTGATGCTGCTGATGATGATGATGATGATGATGATGATGATGATGATGGTTATTAGTATGGCTAATATTATTAGTATCAGTATTATTGTTATTACTACCATTATGGCAACGGCAACGATGATGATGACTATGCTGATGATGATGATGATGATGATGATGATGATGATGCTGATGCTGATGCTGATGCTGATGCTGATGCTGATGCTGATGCTGATGCTGATGCTGATGACGATGATGATGATAATGATGATGATGACGATGATGACGATTATGATGTTGATGATGATGATAATGATGAGGAGGAGGAGCAGGAGGAGAAGGAGAAGGAGGAGGAGGAGGAGGAGGAGGAGAAGGAGGCGGGCCGGGCGTCGTGGCCGACCACTTTGACGTCCTGCCGCTGGTGGTGGTGGTCAGAGGGCGGCCCGGCCCGGCGAGACGCCGCCCACCCCTGCTGCGCCAGGAGGTGCAAGAGGAGGAACGCGACGACGCTTCGGGCCCCTGAGGCCCCACAGTTTGGCATCGCTCAGACATGTGCGCTTCGTTCTAGGCGTGGATCATCGAGGAGCATCCTGGATTGTCGAGCAAATCAACAACACCCACTAGAACGAACAATTCACGGGGCATGGAAGTCCGAGCGATGGCCAGATAGCATGCTTAAATAGTAGAAGAGGAGGAGAAGCGACAGACAGTCTTGCCTTCCCTCCCTCCCCATATGGTAAGACGGGGTGCCCTCCCGCCCTTCTGCCGTCCCTTCTGTTTCTCTCTTGCCTCTTGGTGTTGTTGCCCCTCCCGCCG